AATCCATCACATTGGGGGTTAGGATTTCAACATGTGAATTTTGCAGGAGACACATTCAGTCTCTAGCATCTAACTAGTAGGTACCAGGTGATATAAGCAAAGCAGATGTTAGTACCTCTGCACCACTCTTAGGAAAGCTGAGGCTCACAGAGGTTAATGATCAACCCAAGGTCACCCCGTGGATCACTGGGACTGGAACCCACAGCCTCTGCCTCTCAACTCTGCACTGGTAGATAGCCTCAGTTTTTCATCTCTATCCTCTTTGTGCTATTTCAGGCAAAACAGGTACTCTGCCAGAAAAAGTGGAACATATTCTGCAAAAGACCGTAGATGGAAGAAGTTGGGAAGCAGATGTGCAGTAAAGAAAGCACAATTGCCCGTTGTTCTAAAACAGAGCTTCTCACCTGCTCTCCCACCAGGCCCATAAGGCAGGTGGAACCAGTTCAGGAAACTACCTTACAACACCCCATCCTACCATGTCCAGAAGGGATAAATAGTGTATCAATTTATAACCACCCCAGCTTTACAGTGCATCATCAACTGTTTCCTACAATGGGCTACAGTGGCACCTGTGTCCCTATAAAGTGACAGTGATCAAGATAAGCCACAGAGCAGAGTGGCCAGGCACAAAGGCCATTCTCGGCCCCACCCGCTCCCAGTCCCTTCTGCACAGAACAGCCCTCATTAAGGCCCAAGGTGGCCTCCCTCCGAGGTGTCTGGAAAGCAGGTCTCCTCAGCAACAAGTCCTTTCCCGAACACATTGTTTTTTCAGCCCGCTCTTTTTGGGCATGGTATCCACATCAGGAAAACAAAATAAACTTTAAAAACCCAAACACCTTTCTAATGAGCACTAATTGGTGCCTCTGCTGATGAGATCTGCAGAAGGGCCAAGCTGGGACAGGGCCTTCGTGAACAGACCCCTTTTCCTGCTTACTGCGGTCCCCAAGGCGGCAGTAAGAGTTGGCGCCCGGGGACAGGTAGCCTTCCACTTCCCCGCGCATGCTGCCGCCCGCAGACAAAAGCTGCAGTGTCCTGTGCTGTTGCAACAGGGTTTCCTGAAATGTTCCCTCATCAGAGATGACAAGGAACAGTAGTGAGCTCTTCCTTTTTACCAATGGCTCCAATGCTATCCTCCAAAGTGCTGCTAACCCCTCCCCTTTGCACGCACTTGTATTCCACTTATCCGAAAACCAGCTGCCCTCTGTCTTCCAATTGCAAAGAAAAGTTCATTCATAATTACCACAGCATTTGACAAAACCCAGTGTTGTTCAGCATATATAAATCCGTAAAGCATCTGCTTTGGAGAGTTTAGCAATATGCACTGAAAAGCACGGTGTTCCCCTCATCAACTCAACAATCCAGTTTCTAGGAGTTTTTCCTGATGTAATAACTACATAAGCCCAGAAAGACATTCCCCACAGAACTGCTCTGGTATTAGCAAATTAGAAACAACCTAAATGTCCTCCCTAGAGGGCTGCTTACCTAAATATTTGTACACATATGCAATGGGCTCTCATGCCACACTGAAACGACCATATTCATGATATAGTATCAAACGAAGCAAGCAGGTTAGGAGGGAGCACGCGTGGAATGAGCTCATTCATAAAATACTGTATACCTGAATGGGGAGATTTCTGCAAGACTATTTCTCAAAGCATTACCTACCACTCTCATTCACTTCTCTGCATTGATCATATATGTATATAAAACAAGGTACTTTCCAGAAGAGTCAAAATGATGACGTGACTGCCGGCCAGTGCGGACAGTAAAATGCTCTGATACACTGGACAGCAGGTAGTTTGATTGTTGGGCTCCGCCTCTTTGAGATGGCTAGGTCCATTCAGTCCATGAGAGAGCCAACTCATGGGGTTCTCCCCGAAAAGCTAAGGCAGTGCTGTCTGCATGTATATTTAGTACTGCCATTCTCACTGATCACTCTACAGCTGCAATAGCAAAACAAGTGATAATATTCGGCCCCGCAGCCACATTCGGGACTTGTCAGTATGTTTTCCTAGCGCACGGCTGCCGTGTGCTTGGGGAACAAGCAGGCCTGCCTCCACCAGGGGCCTGGTGCCGTCTGACCCACTCACTCGCATTGGCCGGTTGGCTGCTGGCACCTTTCCCAGCAGTCATTGCTCTCCAAGCACGACATCTATCATTGCTCCAGTCGAAAGATGGCACTTACCTGATGGGTAGGCAGAAGCGTCTTCTCTTACCATATGCTGGAAATTGTCAGGGGCTGTTCACGCCAAGACTGATTACTCTGAGTGCCAGGAAACAGGCCTTTCCCAAAGCCTGCCAAAAAAAATACAAATAAAAATTTAAAAAGAACCAATTTTCACATATCAAATTTCGTGTTGAGGAGTTGTATAACAAGCTCTGCAGAGCAGAGGATTATGGACATTTTTCTGGCATAGACACTCTAAACACAAAAAGAAGAGCAGTTCTCATTTGTGAAATGAGAAAGGGAATTAAAAAAAAGTCTGACCTACATAAATATTCGGTTTAAACCTAGTGCCATGCAGGGTTGGAGGGGGGGCTCACCTATCCGGTATAACTTAATGAATGTTGAAAGGCCCACCTGGGTAGGGTGGCAGCTTCTGGTCTCATCATTGGAGTCATTTGGGGGTTAAGGCATTATCTGATGGAAGGTCCCACGGAATCCCTGTCTGTTCCTCTGGACAGGGCAGCACTCGGCCATTGTCTCCAATTATTGTATTTGTGCCAATGAGGTGATTAAATACAGCAGCTATGTATGTTTTAATGACATCACACAGAACTGGGAAATGTTTGGGGCTGTCACTGCAAAAAAGAAAGCCAATGTTTGCTGCTGAATAGAAACCTCTGTGCAGTGAAGGAGCCAGACAAGGACCCAGGCTCTGCGATTCTGAAGGGAGGTCTCCACAGAGGGACTTGGAACAGAGGAAGGAGGCAGGGCCCTGTGAAAAACAAGATAGTGACACCAGCCAGGGCACAGTTTGGGGTCTCAGGCTGGCAGAACCCCCTGAGCTACACTTGGGGACACTGTCAAAATAGAGAGGAGGGAATGGGAGCATGACAGAGAGAAATAGGATGAGTCTTGAATTCAAGGGGCAAAGATGTCAGCATGGAAGAGGCTGCCACCTGAGCAGAAAGTTCATGGGCCCTTGGCAATCTGAGGGAGATGCCAGGAGTGGATGGGGTTGGGCGGCTCAAGGATTAACCAGGGTTCAAGTCGGGGAGTTCACTGTGGCACCCGTGGGCAGGTGCTCTAGGACAGATCAAGCTGCTTCAACACACCTGTTACCCCTGCAGGCTGCAGCACGACAGCCAAATCCCTTCTAACTTAGAGCAGCTTCCTCTGATCTCCTTCAGTCGCCTGAGGTTTCTGCTCAGGAGTTTTCTGTTTGCTTTGTTTCCACCTGGCCATGTCCTCCTTTGCCAACGTTGTGTAGGAGAGCGCGCAACCGTGTGGGAGGGTGGGTTGGCGTATGTGCATCTTTTATATGTATTGCTAATTTCAAGTGTATGCTCTCCAGATGTCATTTTTTTTTCAATGACAACTGACATTCAATATACTTTTATATTAGTTTCAGGCAGACAGCATAGTGGTTAGATAATTATATAATTTACGAAGTTATCCCCCCCCAAAATCCTAGCACCCACCTGGCATCATGCTTAATGATCATAATATTGTTGAGTATATTTCCTATGCTGTACTTGACATCCCTGTGACTACTTTGTAACCACCAATTTGTACTTCTTAGGACATATTTGGACTCATTCATTCATGCTTGCTTTGGTTATTTCATCATTGTTGTCACAGGAAGGTCAAACTGAAGCCAGCATCAAAGGCAAAACGTTCTACAATAATAGCTCTAATCTTTTGGTGGAAGTGAGAAGCATCCACGGCCTCTGCTCTTATTCTGGGAAGCTCCAGATTTCATAACTCTTCTAACCTATTTTTGAGCTACGTTTTCAACTCAGAAGTCATTAAGGGGGAGAAAGTCCGCAGCGAGGGCCATGTGCTCTGAGAAACCTGGAGTCAGGCTACTTGAGTTCCTGTCCTGGTAACTCGCTGCCTGGGTGTCTCTGCCTTTAGTTTTCTCATTCATACAAAGTGGGAAATAATAGAACACATCTCATCAATCAAGTGCATGGAAGAGCATCACTTATCATTTTACTATGCATTTTTCAGTCTAATTCACACCAAAAGGCATCTAAGCAAAATTTAAAGACAAAGATATTAACAAAACACTAGCATCAATATACCATTGGTCCTTACAAATCAATAAGAAAATGAATAAAAAATGTGGAAAGACAATTCACAAAAAATGTGTAAGCAGTCCAAAAATCTACACAATAGCACAAAACATTTTAAAAAATCAAAAACACCATGAAACCATAATCACAAATTTCCCCTGTGGTGTTGGTAAAAAAAAGTCGATCATTTGAAGGTTGGCCAGTGAACTAGTGAACAGCTTGTCCTCAACAAGTCGGTGGAAATAAAAGTCATTGTGACTTTTTGAAGCCATGTCTTAGCAATGTTAAGCTATGTAGATTCACATGCCCAGAATTCTCAATGCTCAGCATCAGAAATATTTGTGCAAATCCACAACAAATAAATGTTTGTATTTGTGTCAAATTGTTTGCAATAGCAAAAGAAATGGAAAATAATCTAAATTTTACCAGCACAGAAATATTTAATCACTTAGGATACGGTACCAGAATAAATAGCCATTGAAACATGGATCTATAGTAGGCAGTGAGACAGGCATAAGCCGAGCAAGGACCATGGGCCAGATACAGAAGGTCACAAGCACAGAAAGCTCCAGGTGTCTAGTGAGAACCCGCTCCCCACCTGGGGTGACCTTTCCTTCCCTGGCATGTCTCCAGTCACATGGTAGATCCCCCTTGGAGGAGGAAGTTAGGAGCCGAAGAATGGACTCATGTGACACCCATTCAGGCACTTTAGCTTATTTAACCCCTACAGATAATATCTAGGCCTCAGTTCTGTTTCAGCTCCAGACAAGCAGCAAAACCAGACAAGGGACACCATGCCTGACATCAGGACCAGCTGCATCGGCTAATGACCCCTACCCTGGTGCCAACCAATGAGGGGAGACCACAATCGTGAAAGAACATGTTTGGAAAACTGCTGAATATTCTATTGAGATCGTCCTCTAGGACCTCCTGATGAACACCCTCAAGACGGAGGACCCAGTGCAGCTCTCGGTATGGAGCACGCCAGCGCCTTCCCTCACATTCTTCCACCAGGCACATTTTCCTGGTCTCTCTGTCTCCTAAGATCCAACGGAGCTTTGTCTCTATAACTTGTTTCCTGAGTCCATTTCTTCTATACCTCACTTCTTCTACCTCCGTGATTTTCTAAATAAACTTCCTCTTATAATTTGGGTCTTGGCTCTGAATTCTTTCTTAGTCGGAACTCAGGCACCAAGGTTGCTGAACCAAGGCCTGGTCGGACTCCATCATTCTAACACCCAGTGCTGTTTACCACCAAGAGATCTATATGTATAAACAGAAAATACAAATTGCAAAGTGGCTTTATTAAAATTTTATTGTTGAACACTGCAATTTTATTTGTGCCTATTGCAGGTAGGAGTGAAATATGTGTACCTGTGTTTTGTCAAACTTCAGAAGGATCAGAGAAATAGATGTGTCCAAGCTGAAGTCCCAGAAATTTTGTGTGGTCCAGCAACTAGGGGCAACCAAGCTGTGTGTTCAAAAGGCACCAGTCAGTGGTACAAAAACTTGGGTGTTAGCATTCTGAGAATCAGTGTTCAAAATTCAGCTTTGCACCTGCCTGGCTACATAAGATTTTGACAATTTCAACAACTTCAATCTTCTCCTCTAATTCTTCTAATTCCTTGCAGATTGATCATAAGAATTATATGAAATGTTTGTAAATCCTGTTGTACAATGTACTTTCAATCAATGCCATTGTCATCTTTCATGTATCAAGGCACATGTTTACCTTACTAACATTTCAGAGAGCAAAAATAAAAGATGATTTTTTTTTGCTTTTGGTGGCAATAACAATTCATCATAGGTCATGTCAGCATATAATATCCTAATAAGAACTTCTGATTATCAATGTCATTGATTAGTTTAAGAAAATGAGGAAACTATTACTTCATAGAAGTCATTGATAGAACAAACTTTTCAAAATTTTGAATTTTAGGGGGAAATGCTTAGCTTTGTGGTGACAGTCACCAAATGTGTCACGGGACAGGGTGTATTAGAGGCTCTCTCAGTCTCTGAAGGACTCCTTGTTAGACACTTGCTTGCACGGGGAGGGAAAAAGCCTTCCCAAAGCTGAGGGCCAACTCACCTTTGTTACTTTTGAATCTGAAAATACACTGATAAATGCATTTGGGAGGGAGGGAAGGTGGTGTTAGAATGTTAGAAATCCAGGCCAAAGGACCACTTCAATACTCTCTTGAGGCAGAAATTAAGTGATGAGAAAAAATCTATTTTGTATTATTCAGCAAGTTGATTTCTACATGAAAAATTCTTCCCACTTGCCCCATCCTCCTCCCCTGCCCCACCTAACGTTCGATTCTCTATATTGCCATTTACTCATACACGCCTACATACACACATTCCACAAAAATGCTCTTTGATTTATAAATTAGTGGGCAGTTTTGCAAAAAATGCAGAGAATATCTTTTGGTAAAATGAGTTTAAGGTCAGTTTTCAGGGTCCTTGGGTTTTTACATGCAATCTAGCCACATTTCCTCTCTCTGCTTTGCTTGTTTAACTTATTAGAAACTTGGGCACGGTTTTGCTGGTGTTGGCAGTTTTAAGGTATGGATTCGTGTAGGCTATTTACAAGATGCCAAGGGATGTCAAGTCTGGAACATGCGATTTGTATCCCACGGTCCTTCTCTGACACCAGAAATACTCTGTAGATTATCAGATCCATTTGCTGATATTTAACATCTTTTTTTTTTTTAAATCCACTCTGGGTTTTGGCTGTGATGAATTGTAATGTTTCTTCACGGTGAAATTGACAAAAAATTCTTTAAACATTTAAAGAGAGGAAATTAAAACTTTATAGTTTAATGCAAAGAAAGTCCTTTTCATTTACTTAAAAACTTCGCAATGACTTTGCAGCCAAAGCAATTCAGAATTTTATTTATTTGTTTATTTAAAAAGAGCACTTGTGGATACTCTCGACATGATGCAGAGCTAGTGAAGGTGTGATCATGGTCATTCTGAATTTTTCGGCACTGGCAGTACTCAAGTTATCAGGGTGGTGCTATGACGGTTCAGGATTCTCTGGTCCCATAAAATGTTAATATTTTCCTAAACACTCATGAACATTGCTTCCATTTTTAGTGAATATACAGAGTCATTACATGTGAGTAAAGATAAAAAAAGAAAATGGGTCTGTCATTTTCATAGTTGTTTGCATGCTGTTCAGATTTTAGTTTTCTCTGTCTAGCTTGTTTGCAGAGAGGTATCATGCTATTCATATTTCTTCTCCCAATCCATCCTACTTTTTCTGCTGGGGAGCAAGCATTTTACTCTATGCTTCAAGGTTCTTTTGGTTGGTCTAATAATTAAATCGATATAAGGCTGGCTATCAAAAGAACCAAATTTAATTATACAACCACATATGGTGACCCCACATATGTAAGAAAGTCAGAGAGACCCCATATATGTGAGAGGTTCTGAGACAGAAAGATAAAATGAGGTACAACCAACATCCTGAGCTAAGGAATAAAGCTAAGGGGCCTGAGGCTTGAGAGGAATAGATGTTAATAATATGTTTGCTTGGCTAGATAGGTCATAAAAAGTTATTTATAATAATAACCCTTATTATGAACAAGGCCCCCAATTTAAATTCTTTCGAGAGACAGAGAAACAGAAACATCAATTTGTTATTTCACTTATTTCTACATCTGGTTGATTTTTGTATGTGCCCTGACCAGGGATTAAACCTGCAACCTTGGCATATCAGGATGCTCTAATCAAGTGTGTTACCCAGTCAGGGCCCACATTTCAATTCTTTAAGGGAGATGTAAAAGTCTGCCTTAGGCCTACAGGGTCTTGATTGCATCTTCAGCTGGCAATACTCTGCATGCAAAGTGGCACATCCTGGGGAGGCCTATTATGAACTCCTTCACTCCAAAGCTCTGAACTCAGAGCACCATGAGTCCTTTTCGATTACTCAACCAGGCTGCAGCCTGGACCTGCCCAACTGGGAAGATAGTTAAAGTGTGCGACTATGACAGTGATGAGACCACACTGGACTCTCAATTCCTACATGACAGAGTCATGCACAGCTCAAGCCCACAGTTCTGGGAGGCTGACACACTTCTCTGCCTGCTACTGCACCCCATTTCTAGTCTCTAACTCCATTATCTCCGTCTGCAGCCCCCTGCTCTTGCTTGTCATACCTGCTGAAGATTATGGCCTAGACATCACCAGTCCCATCCAACAGGTTGACAATAAATATTTGAATGAATGAATGAGGTAGTTCCAATGATCTGCCAATGTCACTGTTACCTGTATGGCCACCAGAGTAATGGAAGGCAGGTGCCCCACTATGCTGTCCCAAACCAAGACTGCCCTACAGTGGCCTTGCTCATTCTCTTGAATGTCCTGAACATGACCACTCTTTAAGGTTGGGCCCAGTCTCTCTGAGTTGCTAAGTGAGCCTCTGAGAGTCAGCTGTTGGCAACCACCATCAAGATGGGTAGACCGGTGTCTCCAAGGAAGACAGACAGTCTCACAGAACAGTAGCAATCAGGTGTGTCCACCTCTTGATCATAATGGAATAGGACGAATATCACCATTCAGCAATCATGTTGAAACATAGACACAAAAAGGCCACTGCGGCCCCATAAAATGTCCAAATATCTTCCCCTCTACCTCTTCTTTAGCAAGAACAACACCTCACTTTACATCTACTAGACTAAAATCAGAATGTCCAGTGGCTAAATTGTCTCTGCATCCTGCTAGTGCCCCATTCAGAACAGATCCGTGCCTTTTAAAATCTTTCTCAAAATTCCTAATATAAATCCAACTCCTATCAAAAGTATTTCCTTTCAGAGAACGTGAGGCAGCTTATATGAAAGCATATACTAAATAAAATAATATAAATAAGCCAAAACAAAAAAAAGGTAGAAAGAAAAGGAAAAAATGTTTCCACCCTATGGATTAATATTTTGGCCATAAATAAATATCAAATAAGAGTCTGATTGTCTTGGAAGTGAGGGAAGAACATGTGACACAGAAATTTATATCGCTGTCACTATCCGAAAAAGAAAGAAAAAGAAAAGCACACTGGAATCCTCCGAGAAATAAAGATTTCCCTGACATTTCCCACTTCAGACCTGCTCTAAGCAAAGAGGAGCATTTTTGCTCTGCAACTGGAAATCATCCCATCACAAAACCTGGGCCTTTTGATCACATGCCACACTTTCAGTGGGGGCAAACAGAGTGAACCATAAATTTTATGTACAGTGAATTGGTCCTTCAAAGGTCGAGGCTATAAAATAATTTTTCTCAAACTAATTTGGAAGACTTGGATTAATTTTGCCATATACAAGTTGAATCTTTTCAATAATTTTCAAGTCTTTTTCTTTCCTGGAAAGCTTTTTTTTTGGATTATAGTTTTAAATATTAGTTTTGTGCTATTGTTCTTTTTTTCTTCAGAGACTTCAATTTAGTAAATAATATTCGTTTCCTGGTCCACTCCCATTTTCACTATTTTCTCTGACCCTTTTATTTTCATTCTCTTGCTTGTTTTCCTATCTTTCTTCAATGGCCCTTACTAAACGATCATTTGAATGTATCCTTCCTTGCAATGCATTATTCACCTGTGAGAAAACTCTCTTTTTTCCATGTCTTTCCTGAATAAAATAAACTTTAAAAAGATTTCTTCCTGTTTTTTTGTCTATTTTTGTTTTCACTTTCAAAATTTCTGGCTCAAGTTGGCTTTCCATACACTTGCTGCTTATTTGAGTGTATTTAATGCTACTTGAAATATTAATTTATAGGTGTCTCTGTTTCATGGTTATTTTCAAATGGAATGCTCCTCATTTAATCTATATATTTTGTGTCCTGATTTTCTTCAATATCTCTGCATAAACCCGACTTTCCACTTGTTTAATTTTATCATATTGTGGTATTTTGCGTGATTACTAGTTTGATAGAATGCTCACCTATTAAGATAACAGTCCAGATATTTTGGCCGGTTCTTT